TGTTCTGCCATGGGAGAAATGGACTGACCTGTTTCCCCTTCTGGAGAGCAGGCACTTGGAGCAGCAGAGGTCGAAGGAGCTTGTTGAGGGTCAAAAACCGAGGCTTCCATGGGAACAGAAGTCATCTGACCAACCTTTGCCTCGTTCTGTTGCCCTGCAGCGTTGGAGAATTGTTTTTCCAATGCCTGTGAACTCCCGCTTGCTTCTTTCTCAGCAGCTTTGGGAGACCTCCTGCCAGCGATAGCTCTGGCTCTGAGTTTGGCAGCAGCCTCCTGCTTGGCTGATCTGGCGTTCTTCGGCCTGCAGTGACTGTTGGAGGCACCTTGAGATCTCTGAGCTGCTGTGGTTTTACCTGCCATTGCAAAAATCAGAGGTATCACAGAAACGGCAATCTCAACGTGTTTGCAACAGAGGTGGTCCCAGTAGCAAGAAGTGGTGGCGGCCCAACCAATTTAATAGGGTAGCCAGCACACTCAGAAAGCCTGGTAGTGGCAGCAAGACCACCTTAATGGGGTAGCCTGCACACTTATAAGCAGCGAAATTGGTGGTAGGAAGAGGCGCTGAAAATGGCGGGAGGTAAAGCGGGCACTCAGCCACACCCTGAAGGCTTTGGAAATTTGCGCCCTGAAGGAGGCTGTTGTTGTTGTTGTTGCTGCCTCTAATTGTAACAAACTTGGTGTGCGGTGAGCTGCCAAGTATTGGGGAAGCAGCACCTTCGAAATATCGCTCCTTAACTCTGACCTTCTGGAATGGCCTGAGGGCGTTTGTGAGCCTCTCAAAATGGCGGCCGCTAGCAAGCGACCTCCTGCTCCGTCCTTATGTCCGAGTTAATAAAGGCGGCAGCTGCTTCTATTTGCTAACTAAGAAGACTGCAGAATGAATTCTGGCGAAAAATGACTCTATTTTGAGTCTAAACGGCCGTCGCTGGAAGGAAGGAAGGTTCCCCCACTCCCCTCAGAAACTATCAAACCGGCGCTCAAAATGGCGACCGCAGCGCTTCTGCCTCTGGCTCTGCCTGGGAGCTATAAATAGCTCGAGAGGCTTCAGCCGAGGCCTGCAAAAGCGCTCTCACCCTCGGCGGTTTGGGAAAGCAGCGCTGAGGCAGAGAAGGGAAGGGAAAGGTACAACCTGGGAAAATCCACAGTTCTGTCTTTCTGTTGGAAACCCAGAGCCAACCTTCACCACGTCTCTCCCGGGCTAAGACTAAGCCTTAACTGGCGAGTCCTAGCCGGAGGAAGAGGGGCGTGGCAAAGGTTGATTGATTTAACGCTCTTTTATGACTCGTGGACTTCAACTCCCAGAATTCCTGAGCCAGCCATGCTGAGGGGAAAGGGAGAGGTTTCCAAGCTGAGCCAGGCTGGCCCTGGAATTCTGGGAGTTGAAGTCCACGAGTCATGAGGGGGCCATAAGTCCCCCATGATGGCTAAGGAATTCTGGGAGTTGAAGTCCACGAGTCATAAAAGAGCTTTAAATCAATCAACCTTTGCCACGCCCTAACCCTAACCCCCCATTGCCGGGAGCAAGATTCCCAGGGGGTCTCTTACCTTTGCAAAGACCCTCCGTCGTTTCCCTCTTCCCACCACGGCGTCCCCTTCTCTGTCCGGGAGCTGCGCAGGGCGCCTTTGCAACCCCCACGTGACTCCAGACCCCTCAAAATCACCCCTCACGCCCCCTCCCCAAAACGGGTCAGGCCCCCCCCCCGTTGACTTCAAGAAACCTACAGCCGTCTTTTTTCTTTTTTTCTGCAACCCGGAGCGACCTGGGAAAGCGAAGCCGAGGGCGCAGATTCCCGGGCGCGGATCCTGCCAAGCCGGCCGGGGACTTCCCTGGCTCGAAAGCCGCATTCCTGGCTCAACTTTCCAAGAAGCGCAACGCCCGACCCGCGAGGCCCTTTCCAGGACAGGAGGGGATACATCACACACGCGTCACCCCAAGCGTTCACGCAACTCGCTAAAGTGGGGAGAGGGAATTTTATTTTGTGGGGAGAGGGGCTTTGGTTTTGCTTGCGGGCGGGGGGGGAAGGGGAAACCCAACCCAGCTGGCGATCCCTCTGGGGACCCCCCCCCCTCCAAAAGGGTTAGTTAGTAACCAGGACTACCCGGTTGTGGAAACGCAGCTTAACGCCGGGTGAAGACCGGAGGAGGCGTCTATACGCTTTTCTCCCCTTCCCCCTTTAAATTTGCACAGTAATAGAGCAAGTGCAAAGTTGCGCTGGGCTTTCCGAAGATCCAGAGCCCCACTCAGGTCTAGCAACATGAAAAGGCTGAGTCCCGGGACAGGAGGCGATTCCTGCGGGAAGAGGGACATCCCCTCCCCACGTCCTCGGCTTGCAAGGCGAGGCCCCCTCCCCACACTCACCAATCTCGCCCAGCAA